TCTGTCTGTCTGTCTGTCTGTCTCTATCGAAGTCTCAGTCGGTTAACCCGTCTGACAGTCAGTTAATTGATTATAATCTTCATTATGAGAATTATATTATTAATTAATAATATCAATTAATGAGTAGGGATTTTCAGTGATCATTATTAATGGCAGCTAATTAAAATTATCTTTTTCTCTCTTGTTTTAAGGGGAATATTGGAAACCTATTAACCAATAATACAGAAGATCTCTTGTGCAAAATGTTTGGGTATTCAATGTGGTACGTATGTTAAATAATTCATATGCTGTTAGTAGTTACCTATTTTCATGCATTGCTTAACATAGCTCTTACGCAGCTCTCTGGCACTCAGAAGGCGTGCCGGGACTGGTATTTGACTTCCACACTACACCTTGTCGCGTTTAGGGCCCTAATCTTCCATTTCTTTTTTTTAAATGACGTTCAATCTTGTCTCTTTGTAGGTCTCGTGTTATTGTGGTCATTAGCATGTTGGAGAGGTTCTTCCTTAGTTTCTCGTTTTTCTTTCTGCTGTGTGTTGCAGAGAAATCTTACAGAGAGGTCAGTGAAAGGGCTTTGAGTTCAACAACAAGATTCTCATAACTTGCTCTAATACTTTCTCAGTAATTTTCCTCGGGAGAGTTTGGTTTTTGATGAGGAATCTCTTCCTGATAGATTAAGTCGTTTGTTAGACTCATAATCTGCCTTCTTGAGTTTGATACGAAATGGTAAAGGAAAGCTAGAAATCCATCCCTGTCTAGGAAATTTACCATAAACCAAACGGTGACTGGCTAAAAATGTTGCAATTGACTGTGATTGATGGCATGTGCTCACGAAGTTTTTAACCAATCACAGATAAGCAGACGTTATGGCATTCTCTACAATACCGAATACTAAATTATGTAGATGTATTTTTCCCTTGGTATATATATCACGGAAGCTAAGCGGGAAGAACTTTGTCCTTTAAAGAGTAGAATAGCATAAATCTAAATCTCTAAACGGCAATCTGTACTGTTGTTGTTGTACATTGTTAAGCTGCATTTGAATAGTGTCTGCTCTCATGAAGTTTGGCTGCAGTAACAGTTGAAATTATAATCAGTTTATTTCGTTTTTGCTTCTTAAACCATTTCAGCGTTGCCTGTACGCTAAATTATTTGGTTGGCTAACGTCGTCGAGGAAATCTCGCCGAGCGGGATTACCTCACTTTCGTCTTCACAAAGTACGGAACATAAAAACTTGGCTGTCACTAAGATCACTGTTAAAGGTGAGTTCACACGTCACAGCAGGTAATTCAGTCCTAGATTGCAGGGGTTTCATTAAGGACTAGGCACTAGGCAAACAGACCGGTTGTGGGGAGGATTTTGCCCGCATGGTTGACTTTCTAGAGGAGCGAACGTTTTTCTGATAAAGATAAGCTCAGTTAAAAAAAGTTTTGCCCGCCTATGGAAACCAGTTGCCCTCCTGCTAAAAACGTTAATGAAACTCCTGTAGAGTGTTCAGTAGAGGACGTGATAAACCAGTTTAAAGAAGACTTGAGGTAAAACACGTTTAGTGCTGGTGGATTGTACAAAAATTGTTTCTTTTTGTTACTGTTAATTAAGATATTAGCCACACTGAGAGTAATATATATCTTAATGAAATTAACCGATAACCCGGCAGCAAAAAGAAATTTGTAGGAATATTATGTTTATCTTACGTTTAAAAAAATACAAGAATACAGCAGTAAAAGTTAAACTATAAAATGCCCTGTATGTTAGTCCATAGGTGGGTAGCCATAAGGGAATTATATAAGGAGGATTTTTCAGTGCCATTTGCCTTTGTTTGAGAAGTATTCACAAAATTACTTGCAGAAGTTTTAATCCAGTGACCTTATGTTGACAGTTTTCTTTACTTTAAGCGTGTTTGAGACTTCACTTGTTTTGAGAGCAGGTAGAATAAAGCTACAAACCAGAAAAACGAAGTAGCAAGACAAGGTGGCACGGGTAGAAAAGGAAATGAATCAAGGCAGCCCCCTCCCTCCCTCCCTCCCTCCCTCCCTTCGCAATTCCTCAGCGTAACCCGATTTCCCTTGAACTGTAACTTTCAACTGTTGTGTGTATTTCAGAGGCGAGGTCCTCAGAGATCTGTAGATATGATTGTGTCATCTTCCTTCATACTGGGAATGATCCTAGTCATTCTGATGTGTGTACAGGTTAGTAAATCCCTTTGATCTCTCCCGCGCTGTAAAGAAAACTTAAACTCGAGCATGGATCGCGTTTGCGCACATATCATGCGTAATTACATGTGGTTTGTCGAACAAACTCAACTTCTCTGTCGTCCAAACGACAGAAGGAATTATGTTTCNGACGTCACTAGGCTGTTTTGGCCGCGCCAAGATGGCCGCCAATTTTGGGCTTAACCAGCCAATTTCGAACAGCTGAAAAAGCAGTTTTCGCTTACCGTATGCGAAAAAAACGTCTGCAGTGTTTCCAAGTAAGGTTGAAACGTTATTACTAAGCAAAAATCTCACCTACGAAAATTTCGTTTCAGTGGCACTTTAAGCTGCATTTGAATAGTGTCTGCTTTCATGAAGTTTGGCTGCAGTAACAGTTGAAATTACAATCAGTTGATTTTTTTTTTGCTTCTCAAACCGTTTCAGCGTTGCCTGTACGCTAAATTATTTGGTTGGCTTACGTCTTCAAGGAAGTCTCGCCGAGCGGGATTACCTCACTTTCGTCTTCACAAAGTGCGAAATATAAAAACTTGGCTGTCACTAAGATCACTGTTAAAGGTGAGTTCACGCGTCACAGCAAGTAATTCAGTCCTAGATTGCGGGAGTTTCATTAAGGACTGGGCACTAGGCAAACAGACCAGTTGTGGGGAGGATTTTGCCCGCATGGTTGACTATCTAGAGGAGCGAACGTTTTTCTTATAAAGATAAGCTCAGTTCAAAACGTTTTGCCTGCCTATGGAAACCTGTTGCCCTCCTGCTAAAAACGTTAATGAACCCCTGCAGAGTGTTCAGTAGAGTACGTGATAAACCCGTTTAATGTAGACTTGAGGTAAAACACGTTTAGTGGCTGGTGGATTGTACAAAAATTGTTTCTTTTTGCTACTTTTAATTAAGATATTAGCCACACTGAGAGTAATATATATCTTAATGAAATTAACCGATAACCTGGCAGCAAAAAGAAATTTGTAGGAATATTATGTTTATCTTACGTTTAAAAAAAATACAAGAATACAGTAGTAAAAGTTAAACTATAAAATGCCCTGTATGTTAGTCTATAGGTGGGTAGCCATAAGG